CCTCCCACGGCCGCCCCGCCGTCGCGGGCGAGCCCTTTGCCGACGAGGCCTTCGCCTTCACGCGCGACCACTTCATGCAGCGGGAGGTGTAGATCGAGGTGGAGGGCGTCGACAAGGGCGGGACGTTCCTGGGCACCATCACGCTGCCGGGCGCCAAGCCCGTGAACCTCGGCCTCTCGCTGCTGCGCCAGGTGCGCGGCCCGCGGGCCTCGGCCGCCGCCGCCCCCTGCGGCGCCCGCATCGAGGCCGCCCCGCTCGCGGCGCCGCCCGCGCGCCTTCGTTGCGGCATACACTCGAGCAAGGCTGCGGCAGCTCGCGCACGCCCTCCTCGACGGCGCCCTCCATCACGCCTGAACCCTCCCGTATCTTGCGGCCCCCATTCCCCCCTTCCCCACCATAGGGCCTGGCCAAGCTGCAGCCGTTCTTCTCGTCCGACCGCGTCAAGGGCGGCGCCGAGCTGGAGGCCGCGCAGAACGCGGCCAAGCAGGCGCACCTCAAGGTACGGGCGCGCCGCCAGAGGATGGGGCGGGGTGGAGCGGCGGCCTCGTGGCCTGGGTTGGCCGGCTTGTCTGTCCTGAGCCGAAAGCTGCGCTGTTGGGGGTGTTATTGCTATGGAGGTGGTATCGGCGAGAGCTCGCGCGCGTCCGCGCCGCGGGTGGACGCAGGAGGCCCTGCTGCGGCGTTGGCCGACGTCGGCTCGCAGGCTCGCGGCGCAGTGGCGGCTGTCGCTTGGGGAGAGAGAGCTTGCTTCGTCACTCGGCTGCTCACTCGCACTCACACGCGCGCACGCACCTACAAACACTCGACCTCCCAACACACACGATTAGACCCGACCCCCCTCACACACACACACACACACACACACACACACACACACAATTACACAAACACACCACGACAACCGCAACCATGATCACCACCCTGCCCCCCTCAGATCTGGGAGAGCTGGACCCCCGAGGACGACAAGGTTGAGGGAGACGACGACGACGAGGCCGCAGAGGGGGGCGCGGCCGGCGGCTCCGGCGGCGAGGTGCTCAGCGTGACCGTGACCGACGTCGCCAACGGCAACGAGTTCTTCCTGCAGGCGCGTTGCTGATGTGTTCTTTGGAGGGGGTCGGGGGAGCGGTGTCATCATTTGGAAAGGCACGGCCAGGCTTGCTGAGGCGTGGGGGCGTTTGAGCCAGCTGGGCGAGGCGTTGGTCGCAGCAACATACCGGCGTTCCCTGGGGCAGCCTCTTGGGCATGTCATAACCAGAACACCGGGGCGTGTGCGCGCTGGCAGGTCGTGGACGAGCCCCGCGTGCGGTGGGTGGAGGAGCAGCTCAAGGGCCTGTCGCTGGGCGACGCGCCCGCGGCCGCCGCGCCGGCGGCGGTGAGCCAGGGGTCCCTGGCTGTGGCGCGGTTCACTCTGGACGACAACTGGTACCGCGCTTACGTGGAGAAGGTGGGGGGGCGGGACTTGGTCCGCGTGCGTGTGGGGTTGCGAGGCGGAAGCAGCGAGCAGGCGCAGAGGACGGCGAGAGAATGTGCATGTGTGAGTGTGTGCGTGCGTGTTGGATGACATTGAAAGCAGGGGATTGCGTCTCATGCTTACGGTTGTGCATTGAGCCTGCGTACTGTGTTGTCCTCCCCCCAACAAGCGCTCTGTGGCTAGATGTTTTTCGTGGCCCACCACCACCACCACTAGGATTGCTACCTCTTGACTCCTGAACACATGCGCGTGCACGCCCACATACACACATATCCCCCCCTTCCCAACACACACACACACACACACACACACACACACACACGCACGCACTCACACACTCAAACAGGTCCACCCCAGTGAGCCGCGCTACGAGGTGTTCTTCCTGGACTATGGCAACAGGGAGAGGCTGCCCAGCGACAGGATTCGCCCCATAGACACCGCCCTGGCCGCGGTGCCCGCGCAGGCCAGGGCCGCGCAGCTCGCATACCTGCGGGTGAGGGGGTGGCGGGGCCCCAGGAGAAAGGGGGCATCCTCGCTCCTGGCGGGCACGCCAGCAGCATGATAGAGCAGCTGCACCGCGGCGCAGAGACGGGCCCCTCAGCGCGTCCTGAGCTGACAAGACATAGCCCTGGGCCGTCATGTGGCTCTGTCTGCTGCAGCACGCGCCCCTCATGGCCCCCCCAGGTGCCGCGACCGACCCCCCC